CGCCTCGACGAGCCTCCTCCGCGTTATTTGTTTTGAAATGGGGTTGCTAGGGGCTATAGGCTTTAGGGTTCAGGTTTTGGGGGTAGTGTTTGAGATTCCTTTGGGTTGAGCGTGTAATTGAGAAGCCTGGTTTAGCAAGGGTAGTACAGTATTAGGTTTCCGGTGTTAAACTGGTTACAGAGTTTCTCCCCCAGGTCAGGGTCTATGCATCAATATAGCAGCTACGGTTGATGATAAAAATCCTGCATTACCTTAAGGACCCTAAACTATGGGAATTATTGTATATTCCTTATTATGGGTCATGCAGGATTTTTATCATCAGCCGCAAGGATCCCAGAGAGTTTGGATCATATGAGGCACCCCTGGGGCTTCAGGGTTTTAGGGGTTTGGGTTTATGTTTTGGGGGCTTTAGAGGTCTTGGGTTTTGGAGATTTGAGTTTAGGGTTTAGGGTTAAGAGTCAGAATTCAGGTTTCCCGAAACGGAGGCACAAATCTCCACAACTCTGGCAACACCCTCAGCAGCCCTAAGGCGCAATCCTGGGTGCTTGTTAAGAATTAGCTGAAGCTAATACACCAGCGAATAAAATGGTTCGATTCTTATGACATGACAATGGAAATAGTAATGCTGACAATCACTTCAAGCACCTTGACAATTCTAGGTATCGTTTTAAACATTAACGAGCTGGTGTTGTATTAGAGTTGGACGGGGAAACCGGGGGGGGGCCGGCCACATCCTTTGCGAGCCTGCTAATTTCCTCTTTTAGTATCATAATTTCCCTTCCCGCTAACACCGTTCCCTACCATTTCTTGGGTTGCTTGGAATCACCGGGTTATTTGAAGCACAACCAGGGGTCTTAAAAAATACCGGGTTTTTTCTAGTATAGGATTCGGGGGTTGTTTACTTGGAGCCATGTTGGGCTCAATGGCTGTGGCTTGCTAGCAAGATAACGAAAGATGGAGTCAGTTGTCCCATATGCCACCTGCAAGCCATGCCTAATTCAAGCATAAGCATCCCCTGAACCGGAAGTGGAATCCAGCTCAAGCACCCCTGAACACCCCGAACACCCCAATGCCTCCCATGTTATCGCTCGGCGTCGTGCAGCTCCAGCGGCCATGCCAATTGTAGACTCTTGGCCCATTGATTCTTCTTCGGTTTACATACTGTAGGCATGCCTTATACTATGTGTGCACAGGCAAGTGTGTATTGATGAGAAGAACGAAATGATGAAATGAAGTATTTTGACGAACAAATCCAACGAAGGAAGAAAGAGGACCTGGAAAGGATGGAGGTATCATAGTTCATGCGGGCATACCCGCATGAACGCACATAAAAAGGTATGATAGGATGGGACGAATGCAATCGTCAGTAAAGCGCCATGGCGAGTCGTACATTAAATTGGCATGGTAGGACATGAAATATCATGATGAAGCCAACTTCGAGTATCTATGTACATGATTAACAAGTGGTATGTATAGGTATTTATGTACATGTATATATAAACCCATGTGTACATATATAGGAGGACGTGAAGTGACAGTCAATGGAAGGAACTGCAATGGAACGAACACATTGCTGCATGAGTGAGTGGGACCTGCGAAAACTCAAACATCCATAGACGGACTGATGTCTGAACTGGAGCGTGCAAGGTAAAATGGTGTTCACATAGCATGAATGGATAAAGTGATTCATGAGGGGATACCCATCATTGACTGGCTGAAAGACTGTGTGAAAACAACTGAATGCATAGAGATGGGACTGGCATATATAGAAACAGGCATGACATTAATTTAAAACACGTTACAGGGGCGAGATCCTTGCTCGGGCGAGTGAGTGAAATAATGACATTCTGTATGCATTCGTGTACACGTTTTACATGTTTAGATACCAACATATACAGTATATATATATATATATATATATAATTAAAGATCTTGAGTAAGTGTGTACGTATCATGTATGTGCATGTGCGTGTCTGTTTACATGTGTGCATACATGTGTGCATGTGTGTGCACACATGTATGGCAAATGACTACATGTGAGGAAAAACATATATATATATATATATATATATATATGTGTGTGTGTGTGAACATGCATATAAATATGTATATATATATGTATGACCTGTGTTTATGTGTATGCATGTAGGTGTGAACTGTTGTGGATACGTATGTTTGTTTGTTGTATTCATGCATGTATATATGTATATACAGTGTGAATGTGCTAGATGTTGGCACTGCATAATCATCGATTTGTTTAAGTATGTATGCAGGATGAACATATGCATGTGTCCAAGTAGGTCGGTACATAGGTAGGTAGATGGGTATGAACTTGACGGTATAAAGGTAGCACATAGGTATGTAGATACACAGGATCGAATGTATGCTACTAGGCATTCGCAAGAGTATGTATGTATAGGTATGTATATACACATGCATGTGTGATATACATGCAGATCTATATCTCGATCTACATGCATATACATATATATATATATATAGATATATAGATGTGTGTGTATATATATATATATGTATTTTTATATCTATAACTATACCTATGTCTTTATCTAGATCTGTATATGGGTGTACATGCATACATAAATATGCATGTGTATATATATATATATGCCCTTATATGCTTGTATACATGTGTTTGTGTGCTCGGATGCACATACACATGCACGTACATACGCATGTGCGTGTGTATGTGTTGTGTGCATATCTGGACACATGTGTCTGTGTACATAACAAGAAATAATCACATGCATGATTCAATTATGCCAGGATGGGTGTGTACATGCCGTTGTATGTCAATGCACATGCACATGCATGTGTATCAATGTATGCGACTAGACATATCTAAATATATAGATACACATACCCATCTACACATGTTTATATTGGCATGTTTACGTAGGGATGTGAACCAGGCTAGAATTCCCACATAACCCACGGTATCAAACAGTTATCAACAGGCCAGATTTGCGCCACACAGCAAAGCAGGCGGCTAAATAACGTTCAAACGTTCTGCTAATTACACTCCGAATCGAGACTCGGCGTGAAACTCTGGATACCCTTCCCACCACGTCTTCGTCTTGCTGGCAGCCCGTGGCCAGAGGATTCATGGCGAAGCCATGCTGCCTTGCTTGAAAATGGACTTTGAGCATGATGTGGTCCATGGAATGTAATTTCGGGATCAACGGAAATTGCCCGGGTGACTCTGCCTGAAAGTATATTCGAGCAAGCTCAGTGTAGCATCTCAAAAAGAGAAGCCCTCGTCGACTAACATAAGTCGCTTCACTCATGGACAGAAAGACCCCAGCACTGTACAAGAAACTGAACATGCTGTTGAGACATTCTGCAGCACGAAAGGCCATCAGGATTCTGTTGTCACCCAGATTCGTGTGTCGGCGTAAAATGCTTTCCAACCAAAGCAAAAGGTTTGTAGTCAGCACACCTTTGTGCCATCCACCAAGCGCGCCTGTGCTCTGCCCGTAGTTAACCATACTCGCTCCAATTTTGGTCACGAAAGGCTGTCTCTTGGCAGCCTTGCACCACGACAAATACTCTTGTGTGATAGCATCCCACCTAAAGTCCATTGTCAAACAAGTCAAAGCAGGCAACGTGAGAATCAGCATGATTATGCAGGAAGCTGCAAAGGACTTTCCAACTCCCAAGTGCACTGTGTGCCATAAGTCTGGTTGATAGAAAGTGCCTGGGTCTGTATTCGAGTGGGGCAAAAATCTCAGCATTGGAGGTGTTGCCTGCCATGGCGGGGGTGCTGGAATGGTTTTCAGCCACTGCGAGTCTGTGTAGCCACACTCCTCTGCTGGGTAGTTTTCGGTTCCAGCCATGCATAAATGGCAAACCCCTTTTCCGTGAGCTTCATTGCCCAACTTCTTTACACCTCGCGAAAAGTGTCTCGTGAAATGGCCTGCACGAATTAGGAACGGCCAGTCTCCTTTGCATGCGATGACACAGAGCCGATAGGTGACTCCTCCCGAAGTGTAACCAGTCAACAGACACCGAGACAGGTCTTCACTCAACTCGCTGCAGGCTCCATCGAAAGAAGACTCAGTGATAGTCTTGGACATTATGTTCGTGACAAACCTCGTCGTATAAGAATGCCCAGCATAGTTGACTTGCCAGCTGCTCTCACTGTTGGCTGCTTCTTTTCTCGTCCGCCCATTGACTGAACAACCAAAGCCCAGGCAGGATTGTATTCCCATGATCATCAGCGCACTCTTTTTCAGGGTTCTGCCTTCATCGCCGTGTATGTACACGGCTGCTGTGTTCTCAGCATCAAAGCCAGGCTTCACGAAATCGGGGTGCAGCTGAAAATACCTGCTCCAGAAGCCAGACCACGTGATCTGGCATTGCTGAAGATTTGGAAATGACAAACCTGCCAAATGGAACCAAAGGTTGTGGTCAACTATGTACTTCAACCACGTCATCGGGCGAATCCAATCTATGCAAAGCCCCGCCCCTAATTGCATCCTGGCGAATTCCAGCTCCAATCTCAAGCCTTGCCGCTTGATAACTCGCTGCACATCACGCTCAGAGTTGCAGAGGCCTGACGTGGCCCATTCACGAACACCTGCTTCGGCTACAGCCTCTTCTCCAAACTGCTCAGTCATCGCCCGTGCGAACTCGATCTGCGAGGTGCAGCTGGCCTCGGACGGTAGCTCACATGAACATGTCATGCCTCATCATGACTGGTTTATATTGTTTCAAAGCACTGCTTCAATGCACTGGATGCGCTTTCAGAATGCTGTCACTGAAAACAGAGAATGCATGTAGCAAGCATGGCTGAACGAGACTTTTGCGACCAGTCCTGTTGTCGTCCGCAAAGCATGCATTGCACACCCTTTCAGCGAATTAATATAACTTGTGGTCCACACAGCAGTCAAACCACCACGAATTGGCATGGCTGTGCCTTCTGACAGACATTGTAAGAGCATCGACGAGGTTTGAATATTTCACTGAGACTACAGAGGCTACAATCCTTTCATCGGCGGCGGATGCTTGAAAGATCTGGAAACGACATATGTAAAGTACGGCCCACTCAAGCTTGCATTTTTCGGCATCGTGTCCCCACCCAGGTTCTCGTTGTGGCAGCCACTTCGTCCTGAAACGAGGTCATTCGAGCTTTAACTACGAAGAGCAACAACCGGGATATGTAGTTCTAGGCTCACATACCAGACGAAATCCAAATAGGCCCACATCACGACTTGTATTATTCAGGTATATATGGTCAACGAGTTAAAATGAGCATGTATCTCTACATATGCTATCTGTAGAGATATATATATACATATATTAGTATTAGTATTAATATTAATATTAATATATCAAACCTTGACAATTACAACAGTCTTAGAAAGTCAAAGGAGTTGTTCGTATTGGCTTGTAGCAATGCTGGGGTTCAGAGATATGACAAACAACACATTTGGTTTTAGGGGCATGCTCATGTGTAGAAAGTATCTATATGTTACGTATGTGAGAGAAACCAAGAACAGTTAGGCACTGCACGAACAGCCACACATCGCTTGGCATGAGTGTGTGTGTGTGTGTAGACATATGTATCTGCATGTATAAATACATATATATGTACATATATATGTATATACATGTCTAACTATACACATATGGTGCAGGCACAGCCTGAGATCACAGCACTGCGACATATGTATATACACACATACATATATTGTACAGATACATATGAACATATGAACATACGTACAGATATGAACGTATATAAGTGCATGTGAACACACACACACACACACACATATATATATATATATATATATATATATACATGTATGTGTGTGTGTCTATAGTCGCACCTTATCGGGAATCAGGTACAGATACTTACACAAATTGCTTCCATGTGTTCGAATAACCTACACCAGACTATACCCCAAAACAAATACATGCCATGCGTATGTAGCTGCTCGTTGCTTTCCCAGTGACCTTTGTAAAGATTCACCAATGCGGCTTCCAGGAACCCAGGTCCCACAGCATCACTCGCAGCATAAAGGATGTCCATCCTATCGTACTTCTGCACACACACTGCATAGCCATAGGTCGGGTTCGCCCACCGAAACACTGGGTCATGCGTGAACCCGAACTTGAAGGACATGGGTTTCCTTCGACTGTGAAGATCCTCGAAAACCTCGATCGCATGCCTTAGTACCATGCCAGGTGTCCCGATCTTTCTGGGCAGTCGCAAGTGCAACCTCTGATTCAGTGATATAGCCTCAAGAGCGCTAGCAGTACGAGGCAAGGAGGCAAGTGATAGGTCCAGGCCGGCTAGGTTGCGAGATTTCCTGTGTTCACCACACTCCTGTTCGGAAGTCACGTTCCTTTGTTCGCAGCGGCTGGCTTGCCATGCATATGGGCCAAGGGCTTCCTGAGTTGTCGAGTGGTCTAGACATGTGTAGTAGACTTATTTATTCATATACAATATATATATATATAGATATCAATAAATAGGTGTATATATATATATATATTCAAACATACATCTGTATCTATATATTATATACATATGTATATATATATATATATATATATATATATATCTATACATATATAGAGACATGTAGAGATGTACACCAGTCTGATAGACGAGACAATAACCGTAATGACGTCATAGCTCAATCAAGCATATCAACCGGATATACTACATTGCTACTTCCTGCGAACACTACACAAGTGCCGGGATAGTACGTACACAGACTTCTGCGGAGGCTGCCGATTCAGGACTGAGGATTGCCATGGGGCCTGAGAAGTTATTTGTTGTTGAAGCTTTGGTTCGGCCTGGATCGGGTTTGAGGATGTGCAGACTATATAGAGTTCAATACATCCGGTCGGTGTGGTTGGCCTAGGTCCATCGGAGGCTAGCATGGGCTAGGCTACAGAAGTGTAGATCCGTTTATTGTAACATAAGATAAATTGGCATTCATTTGCAAGCGCCCTATTCGTAAAACACATTCTAAGTGTTCCAGCCATCAATGTTTATAGGAACTTAACATCCGACTAAGAACAGGAGCTATGCAGAATGCAGTCCCACGAAGCAATTTGTAAATCAAATGTTCAGGACTGGGCCCATCCGGTCACCCCTCCAATCTGGAAGCCTGCATACAGTGAAACACTTGGTCGCTAGTCTTCCTATTTGGGATCGTACCAGTAATATTCAAATCTTCGCCATATGACGTTGTATTTGGTGCGAAACAAACAGCACATACGGCTATATAGGCAATACCACACCTAGACGAAGAACATCACACAAGTAACATAGCAGACAGGTAGTGTAATGGGTCAATGCCACCCCAGTATAGTCAACCATGCTACCCGTGCTAGGTTGAATAAACATATATGGGTTAAGCTACCTGAAAATGAAACCACAAATTCCATGCCCCGGCTCTGAGCGGTGGCATGACAGCAAGTCCAACAGCTCGTCATCGGTCGTCTCATCGCTCGTCGACAAGCCACTGCTGGAAGCCATTGCACCAGCAGGAGCAATACTTCTTAGCAATCTATGGATCTTTAAGACGAGGAAGTTAAGCCCATGTATGTGCATCCTTCATGTTCCTATGTCTAAGCACACTGTATATATACAAACGATGCCACTATATACAGCATACATTTATACCGTTTATACCTACTGCAGATGCACAGACCGAGAGGTCTCTACGAATGCTCACCAGTGTCGATACAATGTCCTCACACCATGCAAAGAAGTACTGGAAAACAAAAGGATACCGACTGTTGGCACTTCATGACTGGACAGCAGCATGAACGATGGGGGTGGCAGCGAGCTTTCAGTGGAATCTAGTAACATCTCGAGACATGCGCTATAGTTCCTGCCACAGAAGTACTGAGTTGTATTGCATGGTTTCATAGTGGCTCTATCGGGCTTAGGTGGGATTATCCCTGCATAAGAAAGGTATGATGCTGGCATTGTAGGACTGTACCAACATACATCAGTGTCTGTTCCCCTTCTATCTGGCATCCTTAATAAACTCTTTCTGTATCCGCACACTTTTACAGTGCATCGCATATAGATCTACATACATATAGATGCGCCTACTTATTGCACCTACACACATATAAGACACACGTAGCACACATATACATCCGTACATCCCTCTCAGTTTGGTTCGATGGGGGCAGGGGAGTTTTCACCACATGTTGCTGAAGAGGCTTGTGCTGCATTTCAAGACTGCTGATTAGCTTATAAACACGCATGACTGATCGTAGGGTCCTGAAGGTTCAGCTGTTCCCACCGGTCCACACAACTTTGAAAGTATTGTTGACCTAAAGCATTGGAGCCTTCCCCCCCTCAGTGTAGGAGCAGTCTACAGGGTCTTACACTGCTGTTGAAAGTGAGTCATCATATTCATGTGCGGCAGAACGACACAATCACGAAACTTTCAACAGCTAACCTCCAATTTCACACACTCGAAGCACAGTATGCAGCCCTCTAATACAACAGATAAAGTACTGGCTAGCAAAAGGTTGCTTCAGTATGGTTCACTTCGTTGGTCAGTTTAAGCTTTATCACTCTACAGACGGGTTGTATGGGGCAAATTACATAAACTACAAGGGGGTCCACAAGCTTTCTAAGGATCGAGCTCCATTGCCGACGTTCTGCGCCATGCGACGAGCCACTGGGCCATGACCTGGCGTGTTCACAATCTGTTCACACTGCTCTGTAGACGTCTAGCATGAAAGAGGGCAAACTGTATCGATGCAGTGTTTTGCTTCTTTCATAAATCGCTCGGAGGCATCTTGATGGGAACTGACTTGCGAGGATCAGCTGTAGCTTAGGGCTCTGCTCTAGGGCCCTTCGCAGAACAAACTCTCCTTGCTCAGGCAGCTGCTGCAGCTATGGCCGACTCGCAATTGCACTACAGATGCATGCTGTGCCACAGTCTGCATGGCAACATAAGGGGGCTGGGGCTATTAGAGTTGGAGATCTTTCAAGTCAAAACGATAGCTGCAGCCAGCCGAGGGTTTGCAAAATTATTCTATGCGAAAGAGCGCACAGAAAACCATAATCGGACGGCTCATGCACCAGGCGTCACGAGCTCTAGTCCTCTGGCTCACGCTTCTTCTTGAAGTGACGCTTAGCACTCCTCGGCTAGATACACGGTGTGTTTGTGCATGCACGAGACACGGAGGGCTCAAGTATTCGTGTACCTGGGGTTGGGCTAGGACATCACATCTTACTTCGGTAAAGCTAAGGCTTTGGCTTCACCTTGTTCTCGCTGGAAGCCACCTTGGCGATCCTGGGCCGCGGTACTGCACCACTGCGCCAGCCCATTCGAATGTCTACCGAAGGTTATGCAGCAGCTTGTCAGCTACAGCTAATCGAGGATTCAGCCAGGTTGCTTGTACGTTTCATTCTTCATCATCTCCTCGCTTTCCTTGCGCCACCTGTAAGGCAGCCATGAAAGGTTTAGGTGGGCACAGGTTTCTCGATCTATATATACAACAATGAAACACATGAGATAATGTGCACAGTAATATGTATTTACATTATATATCTGTACATATGTCCCTGAATGCACAGTTACATGTGTATGTGTACACACCTACATAGACATATATCTATATGCATATACATAACCATACCTATATGTATATAGACCTACTGTAACCTTTTGATTGGGTCTATAGATGCACATAGTCACAGCTGATGCCACGTAACTGTGCTAGCTCATGGTCATGTTTCAATGGTTTAGTAGGTCTGATATGGTAAAATATATGAAGGAACCCACACACTCTATGTGTAGATGAGGTCTTGCTTTCGAGAACAGGTAGAAACATCGCACATCCTTATAGCTCGTACCCAATGATGTAATGCTAGAATAATTGGTTCTGCAACCACACCCGAACCTGAACTACATATTGATAACCATTGACCCTGCACTGATACCCCACCATAAGTACCACGATTACATAAGCAGCATGTCAAAGCCACCTGCCACTCCCAGCTGTATCCTGCTTGTATTGAGGCTGCACTGGCTACGATGCTGAGCACTGCTGGGACTTGTCAGAACAGATGTTTGAAACTTCGATGATGTAGGCACATCATATAAAGTGTAAGCACTCGAATACTAACTGCTCAGAAGCCACCTGAATGATGAAATCGAGGCTGCTTTTGTTACCCCGGAGTCAACCCCTAAGCTCCCTAAACATGCACATACAAAACCTGTATGTACTGGTAACACTCGATAACAGCCGATCGAGCTTGTAGATGGTGGCACGTGCCGATAGAACGACTTTGTCTGAGATGCACACTGGTTGATCAGTTGAGCTGCTGGTTCCCACTTGTCAAAGCTAATCATTGCAATGATAACACAAACCTGTCTCCATGCCAAGCCTTCCAACACTAAGGCAAGACACAGCTTAATGAGACACCTGCATGACACGACACATGTTTGGAATCAGGCTTCACTGCCATAGGTAAGGTATGTAGAATCGGCACCTATCGCACTAGGACCAATTAAAGGACATCAGCAGGGTGAGTATGGGCCATGGATTGCTATATAGGGGCAATATAAAGGCTTAGTGGAGGAGATAGTTTTGTACAGTGCGATGGGTTTTCACACGGCTCCACAATTTCTCCATTGCATGTGTATCGGTTGGATGTTCCCGCGGCTTGGAAGCAGATGCTCACTATTGAATCATGCACTATTACAAAAACTTATATCTGGTAGCACATTCCGATTCCAGGGTGCATGGGACATATTGTCGGCACATGCTCTGTTACCAAATGCAGCTGAGCCTCGCAGTGTCGTAGCCTTTCATCTCACCCTTGGCCTGCATATCCGTAAGGCACGAATACGCGTCGTCCAAGATCTTGGCATCGGCCTCCAACGTAACAACGCTCCTTGGCGCTGGGATTTGGGGTGTGAAGTTGGGGAAGTCGGAGTTTAGAGGGAATGCTTGATATTGAAGCAGGTCTCGCAGTGGCCAGAGGGTCCTCGTAGCCTTTCACCAAGTCACGGATGAGGGCACGGATCTTTGCACTCTTGGACAGCACACTGTCAATGAACTTGCGGAAGGTCTCTTTGGCCGAAGTGGCCTCTATATAGCTTATGATTTGAGATGGAACAGATCGCGACTCAG